TCCTTAGTGTAATATTTATTCCTCATATTTTTAATATATGTGAAATAAATGTTATAAATAAAAAATATTTTTTACAGTATAATAATGAAATGATCAAAATTACTAATTATAACAATTTGAATTATAACATCGTAACAATATTTATAAAGTTTTTTAATAAATGGTATGAGGATTAACAATATTATGTCTTGGCTTTTAAAAAATAACATAAATGACTTTTTATCTTCATTCACGAAGGTACTCTCTAAAACCAGTGACAACAGCAGAAACTCTACTAAAGAAAATGGAACATAGTCAACATGCTTTTCAAAATTTTGAAAAGCATCTAGACTATGTACTTTTTTTTCCTAAGAGAGAAACATACTTACAATGAATAAAAATGAAAAAAACTTAATAAGTTCAAGAAAAATTTGTACTCAAATATTTTAACGATTCAAATACAAAACTTACCAGATACAAAATGTTTTGAGCATACTAAGACATGTTTTGCAACCGAAGTTTGTTTTTGCATAATGAATCAATTCTATATAAAGCATAAAGCCACGATTTTCTTTTCTTTGGATCAGGAAGCAAAATATAAAAAATCAAGTTCGGATGACTATTAACATTAATTGAACAATTAAAAACACATTTCTCCATTTTCAAGCGCTTTGTTTGCCCCCATACCATAATGGTAGCCGTTTAGTTAGTTAAAGTGACGTCACGTTCGCCGCAAGGATGCCTTGTAAGGCCTCTTTGAGATATGCATTTCTTAGAGCTATTTAACTCTATGTCCGTTTCCATATTTTGTGCACTCTGTTCCTGGCCGTTCGACAGTTTTCAAGTGTTTTTAACGAATATTAGAAAAATCAAATAATACGGCCCGAGTGACCAGACTATCTATTTCTTATGACTATGGTATAACATAGCATAATAAAAATTGGTATAAAAAGTATATCTAAGAATAGCGTAAATAGTGTTTCATAAATGTTACCAGTATTTTTAAAAAATAAAAGAATAGAAATAAGAAAAGAAAAAAAAAAGACAAGAAATTTTTAGGTACTTTAGGTATATTCATGTTATTGTAAAGGAAAACTCGTAGAGGTCTATGAAGACTTATCATCGAGTACCTTTTTAAAAGGTTAAATAAAGTCTATTTTATTTTTATATATAGTCAAAAGTGGTTAAACAATAAACAATCAGTGATACACATAAATATTTTAATATAAATTTTAATGTTAAGTTTAATACATGTCGATATGATTGTTGGTATTAAGTATGAGGTGTTTTAATTTATTTTTCAAGTTGGCAGCATTATTTAATACTTTAAGTTCTATATTTTTGGATATGATTTTGTTATATAGGTACGGATCCCGGTAGGAGATAGAAAACCGTGAGAGCTTTGTTGTTCTTTTGGGCAGTGTGAAGTTGCCTGTTGCTCTTGTCATATACCTATTAAAGTTTACTTGAAAGAAGTTATCTAAGAAATGCGATGGGACTAGTCCAAGTTTGTATTTAAGCATAAACAGAACATTTTGGTAGATGTTGATTTGGTAAACATTTAGTACATTCAAGGTTTTTAGTAAGGGTTCAGCATGGGTCAGTTTATCTTTATAATAAACTAATCTTGATGCATGTTTTTGACTTATGTAAATAGTACATAATTTGGATTTGCGTGTACTTGCCCAGGTAATATTAGCGTATGTAAGATAACTTTGGATGTAAGAAAAATAAAGCAATTTAAGATTATGTTGAGATAACATAGGTTTAACTTTGTAGAGTATGCCAATATTTTTTGAAATTTTGGTGTTAAGTGAACTTTTATGGGTTCTCCAAGATATATTTTCGTCAATTAGTATCCCAAGAAATTTAGCTGTTTCTGTTAATTTACCTTATCTATTTTTAGTGAGGGAAGGGTAGTTGGTATATTATTTTTTTGTTTTTTGGAATGAAACAATATGTATTTTGTTTTTTGTGTATTTAATGATAACTTATTTAATTTCAACCATAAATTTAATCTCTTAAGCTCTTTGTTCATACATTCATAAAGGTCTCTGATTGAGTTCGATGAATAAAAAAAGTTTGTATCATCGGCAAACATTATTACATCAAGTTTTTCAGAGGTTTTTGTAAGGTCATTAATATATAGAAGAAACAGAAGATGTCCAAGAATGGAACCTTGGGGGACACCACACTCAACTCATAGTAGTTTTGAATGTTTATAATTATCTGAAAAGACACATTGTTGTCTGTTACTTAGATAGTTTTTGAACCAGTCAAGGGTTATGCTTTTTATCCCATAGCTTTCCATTTTTTTAAGTAAGATATTGTGATTTACAGTATCAAACGCCTTCGACAGGTCTATAAAGATGCCTTGAACATACTGTTTTTTATCAAAAGAATCACTTATGTTGTTAACTAGATCTAGGATTGCGTTTTCAGTTGAATATTGTTTTTGGAGACCAAATTGCTTTTTATTTAGGATTTTATTTTGGAATAAATACTTATACAATATGTTATAGATTATTCTTTCGATAAGCTTAGAAAAGGTAGGGAGTACCGAGATAGGTCTATAGTCATTAATTAAGTATGATTCACCTGTTTTAAATATTGGTGCTACTTTAGCTACTTTTAACTTGTCCGGTACAACTCCTGTTTTAATCGAAGACTTAAAATTTTTAAATATAAGTTTATTTATTGTTGTAAAGACATTTGCTACTACCCTACTACAGATATCATCTATACCTGGAGTTTTATTTAGTTTTAAGGAATTTAGAGCAACATTAAGTTTTTTTAGAGCAACACAAGTTCTTGGTAGTTTAGTTCTTTGTATTTTAGTTCGCTCTGGATATCACTTTGGTATGATTTGAATAATCTATTAGGAGACTTAATTTTTGAGGCAAGATTAGGGCCAATATTAACAAAAAATTCTATATTTTGTACTTTATATTATCTATGATGATTTGAGCAGGTAAACTATTTAATTTAACTTTTTTGTTCCCAATTATTTCTTTTAACGTATTCCATGTTTTTTTAATGTCACCAGTTGCATTCTTTGTTTGGTTAGAGTACTAATTTTTCTTCGAACTTTTTTTTATTTTTTCAAATAAATTTTGTATTGTTATAAAGTATTTAGATTTTTTTTATTTCTATTTTTTAAATACTTGATGTAAAGTTTTTGTTAAGGCTAAATATTTCAAAGTCGAAATCTGGCTTTATTTTTTAAAGCATTGAATTTATCAACTTAGTGAATTATTTTCTAAAACAAGAACTTCTAGATTTAAAAACGTGCTCATTTAACAGCTAATCCCCCTTTTAACTACATTTTTCATAATTTTGCAAAAAATGCGATTTGCTTGCAGACTTTAATATAGACTGTTTCAGTAAACCTTTAACAATTAAGTAAGATTTTTTTATTTTAATAATAGTTAAAAAACGAGTGTATTTGATAATAACTATCAGAAGTATATTTTCTGTTTTTTTTTTATAAAAAGCAATAACAAATTAATAAATTTAATAAACTTTAAATTTTTATAAACTAAAAGAAGTTTTTTTACAATTGTATTAAATGTCGAAGGATAAAACATTTTATTGTTGTTTTTATTACTTTTACAAAACAAAGTTATCTCTAATATTTTAAAAGTTATAAATGTTTTCGTAACACCCTCTAAGTCAAAGTTTTCACAAAAAAAAAAACTAGAAGCCTCTGAAACAACCGTGCACACACACATATAATATTTTATATATATATATATATATATATATATATATATATATATATATATATATATATATATATATATATATATATATATATATATATATATATTTATATATATATATATATATATATATATATATATATATATTTATATATATATATATATATATATATATATATATATATATATATATATATATATATATATATATATATATATATATATATATATATATATATATATATATTTATATCTGTATATAACTATTTTAAAATTTTTACTAAGTTTCGTAAATATTATTTTCCATATCTCTAATTTTGCACAAAACCTTTAAAGAATAACACTGTCAAAGGTTTTTTAAAAATCATCAAAAAACAATACTGACTTGTTTAACTTTATTGTTTATGTAATTGAAAATAAAGACTACAGGAAATTGGTTACGCTTTTTTTTGGAACATATCTGTGATGTTTCTTAGAAATCAGATCATTATCAGTAAAATGCCTCATATAGACCTCTCATATAATGTTCTTGATATAATTTCAAAAAAAAAATTGTTCTATTATTTCAGTGGAAGTAATTGAATCCACTTTCTACAATTCAAAAAAATAAATATTTCCTTTATCATGCTCTGCAATTACAACTCTGACAATGATACAAACTCTATTCTCAATAAGCAAATTTGAACAAGTGTTAAAATGCAAGATTAAAATATTTTAATAATTGTTAAGGATAAATATTAAAACTATCTATAAATGAGCTTAATATGCTCACTCTCAGTATCACACATTCAGCCCTTACAAGTAAGAAAATAACAGAAATAATGAAAAATAGTTAAGGTCGGCATCAGTTTGGCAAAAAAAACTTGATACAAAAGTTTTACCATAAAACATAGTAACAAAGGCCAACACTCTTCTCAAATACCTTTTTTAATGCAGAGATCTGCACATTTTGCATCTATATCCAAATTTTCTTTAACATCTGTTACTATTGCAGTTAGCACACTTAACCCTAGCTAAGGTTAATTGTTGTATTCGTAATAGGCAGCATTAAGATCAAACAATGAAACTTATCTTCAACCTTACTCTCTAAGCTCTATAAATCTACTCTCTTATATCTAGTAACTTAATAGTGGTTGCTTGCAACCTTGCTGTGAGTGAGTCAGAATAAATTAAAAAAAAAGATGTATATAAAAATGAAACATTAACATAATTTAAAAAAATTTGGGTTTATTGTTCAAAATCATCAAGTCAAAGTATCATTTTACATTTAAATTTTGTTTGTAAACAAAAAATTGTTACCTGGACAAGGTAAAATATATGTACATGGACTAGATTCATAACTTTGGCCAACACAACCCCCACCTAAAGTATCACCTTCACAAATCCTGCTGCGACTTTGAATAGCAGAAGTAGTCAGACATGATGCTGAACAAACACTCCAATCACTCCAAGCACTCCAAGTACTCCAAGTACTCAAAGCACGGTAACTACCTTTATTTAAAAAAACTTTTAAAAAAAACATATTTATGCTTTAGATAACAATTTTATTAAAATTTAAAAAATTTTGATAAAAAACAGTCATAATATTATTATAACTGTTTTTTATTAAATTTTTATTATTAATAAACTTTAAAATAAATTATTTAATAAAAAAATTACCTAAAAAAAAGAAAACTAACAATATTATGTTAAAATTATAATACTAATTTTAAATAAAACATTAAATAAAAAGTAATTTAAAAGTTTCCATTAAAAAACTCATTCATTTATAACTTATTGCCCTCACTGTTAGGGTAATAAGAATAACATTTAGGGGTATTTTCGTTCCCCGACTCCAATTACCGCAATTTTTAGAAAAGTATTATCATTTGACGTAAAATATACTTAAATATTGAGTTTAGGTAACGCCTGAAAGTGTTAAATATGTAACAACAAAAAAATCCAATTTGTGTTATTTGAACTATATTGCTTTTAAGGGTCAAATTACATTTGTTTAGCATTCTTTTCTTTTTTTTTCTTTTTTTTTTATTATTTAGGTGCCCCAAGAAGACTAAACGGTTTTGTCACAGAATACCTCGGAAGTGTATTTATCCACTTCACGCCTTTTTCCTTACCGTGACGCGAAAATATGTCAAAAGTTTGTTTTGAACCTGGATCTCCTGCTTATATAGCAAGCGTTGTAGCCACTACACCACAGCCGCACCCGTATAAAAAACAAAAATGTTTTGAATCATACGAACAAAACAAGTTCATACAAGTAACAATCTTTCTACTAGTAGAAGTCTAACTTGATGTTTGTATACAAGTTTTTAGACTTTAAAAGAATTTGAATAATTATTATACAGTCTAGCTCAAAAAGAGCAAAGAGTGTTGGCAGTTTTTCAAATGCTTTTTGTTGGCAGTTTTTTAAATGGGAGTTTTTTAAATGCTTTTTGTTGGCAGTTTTTTAAATGCTTTTTGTTGGCAGTTTTTTAAATGCAGAATTTCATACAACTTCCAATACATTTACGTTGAAGAAAACTGTAAACATTTAAATATTGATATAATAAAGGTAACATTCTAGTATTGGCGTTGAAAACATTACATTTGCTTAGATGAGATATTACACTAAAAGATTATGCACTTATATATTATTATTTAATTAACAGGATTAGCAGGTGGATCTGAAGGTTTAATATTCTCTACAGGCTTGACATTGCTATCTTACCAGTTTTGCCACTTAGCCTCAAACCGTGTCCTAGTTCTTTTTTTCTCCTTCTATTCCCTTCTAAAATTGTTCATAAAATACCTTTTTATCTCATCCGATATACTCAGATCCTTCAAAATAATGTCAGCTTCTATATCTGCTAAACTTTTAATCTTCTTTTCCCACTTAGCCTCTAAAAGTTTATGATACAAATCTTGCCACTTAATCATGTTGAAACTGTCATTTAATTTTTTTAATTCTAATTATTAAAAGCGGGTTTTGTGGTTTATTTGTTTTGACCATAAACCGTTTACACATTGACCACAAACCGTTTTCAGAGTGCTTTACGGTTTGTGGTCAATGCTGCAATGACTTTTGGTCAACTAAAATTAATTGATCAAAGCGTTGAAATTTGTTTAACCTTCGACAACATGCGGAAACCGGGGGGGGGGGGGCAAGTGAGGTCAGAAAATTCTTCTATAAAACTTTAGTTAAAGTAATTAAGTATACATTTAAATTAATTTCATTATAACGTATTATAACGTGTGGTAAATCTATTACCGCAAAGTTATTTTTACATGAAAAATCGTAAAATTATGTCCTATTAATGTAAAAAACTTGCTTAAAAAATCTCTGACTTTTTAAATAATTATTAATTTATAGGTAAATACGTACAAATATTTTCAAATTCCATAAGAGTAGATTATTTTCTAAATGTCACAGATGTATTGCCAGTATTTACATGTTTTTCACATTTTTCACACATATTTTAACAACTTTTTGACTTTGAAGCATTCGAAAAGGTTTAAAAACTGATCAAGTGCATTATAAAATAAACATTCATTGCCATTAACATACTCATGTTAATAGACGTCTTCACAGTTCCGATAATTTAGTGCGCGCGAACATTTAACAGTTCGTCATTGTTCCTTGTGCGCAGAATCGCATGAAAGAAAGTAAATAAACAAATATATTATGAAACCATTCTTAAAAGAAACAGTTGTTTACATAAGATTTCTTTACTTTTATTCATAATAAAAGTGTCGATTTTGAATTATTTAACTTTATTTTAACTATTTTAAGGCTAAATTTATATTATTTATATATTTATACTTTTTATATGTTTGTTTTATAGGATATATATGAAAGAAATGAAAGGTCTTAAATAATTCTCTTTATCTTTTGCATTTCACACATTTCGTGTGTGAAATGTGCATTGATAGTTGTGTTTGTGTGTATATATACAATATATATATATATATATATATATATATATATATATATATATATATATATATATATATATATATATATATATATATATATATATATGTATATATATATAAATATAATATATATACATATATATGTGAGTGTATATATATATATATATATATATATATATATATATATATATATATATATATATATATATATATATATATATATATATATATATATATATATATATAATATTCTTTCCCGAAAGCTCATTTTTATTAATCAATATTAAATACTTTTACACTCAACGTACAAATTTGTTTTTTCCTTGATTACAAATATTATAAAACAAAAACATATAAACAGTATAGATTTTAAACTTAAAATGGGTAAAATAAACTTATATTAAACTAAATCAATGTCTTTTTTGAAAAAAAATAAAAAAAATTTCATGTAAACAACTGTTTCTTTCAAGGTTACTATCTTAATTTATATGAGTATTTACTTGTTTTCATGCGATTCTGCGCATAAAGTACCATGACGTAATATTAAATATGCGCGCGCATAAAATTATCGGAACTGTGAAGACGTCTATTACAAATGATTAAAAAAGTCAATAAGACTTTTCTTTTTGACCTTTTTGCTAACGTCACTGTGTACCGCTAGGGTGTACCGTTTCCGCCTTTTTTTTTAATTTTGAGTTAAACTTTTTGTGAGGTGCATAATGATTAAAAAATAATTGTTGTAAAATTGTAGGACAATCAAACATTATTTAGGGATAGCACACTTACCTAATTTGAGTAAACTGAAGTTTTCGCGCCTATTTTTTAACATTTTTCAAGATTTCACTGTCAGTTTTTTCAAAATTCATTAAAGAACTTTTAGTATGTTATTTCGCATTAAGTAAAGTATTAGAAATAAAAAAAACTAGGCTAAAAGAAAAATATATAGGGGTGACACAGGTCATTTTTATGCTTTTAAATTTATTTTTTTCAAAATCAATTTAACACCAATTAAAACTCTATTTTAATTTTTTTTTAATTTTCCATAGAATTTCTGTGGGTTATTTTATGTGGGTAAACCTAAGGAGAAAATCCCCATAGAATTTCCCATAGAATTTCCCATTAAACTTCCCATAAAATTTCTCATAAAATTTTGCATAGAATTTCCATACTTTACAATGTCTCGACTACTTCTTAAAAGTGTTTGTTGAATGAAAAAGTATTAAAAAAATAGGAAAAATATGCTCAGAGAAGACACGTGAAAGGTTCAGGGCATCAATAAATAAACTGTGTGATATTTCAGCATTTAAAGTCTACTAAACATTACGGGGATTTTGAATTTCAACTTGGAAAGTCGAGTGGCTGTTCTCATAAAATCAGCAAAAATATCCACAGGTAAACAAAATTACTTATTAAGCTATTCTATTTTGTTTGAGGTGTACAACATGTACAATTTTTGATTTTTTTTTAAGGTTGGCTACGCTTGGTCGAGATGCTATTTTAAATCAAAGAGAGAAAAAAGTACATCATCGAATGTCAAGAGCAAATTAGAGCAGCGCATAATAATTTATCTAAAAGAACATGAGATATTAATACGAGTGAAGAAGTTAAAAAGTTCTCAACGAGGATGATGAAAACACAAACATTTCAGAAAATGACGAATTTTACCTATGTCACCAAAAAAAAAAAGAAGATCACCAGCCCTTATTTCTCAGTTGAATCCAAAAACACTTACTAAATTATTAAAGTTTCCGATCGCTTACACATACGCGTTAGAGGCACAATGGCTCTTGAACAGTTTGCTATTTCTAAATTGAATTTTGTCGTCAACATAAGAAAGAACAAGAAAGTCAATTTCATCAATTAAAATGTAATTATCAATGCAACTGTCCGCTTCATTAATTCTGCCACTGGAATAGCAAACTTGTTTCGTCGCTTAACGGTAAAACTAATCAGACATTGCTTTATTACGTAAAATATTAATCTTAAGATAACTTTTAATTTATTTCTTAAACAAGATGCCATCCTTAAAAGTGGAAGGATGGTTTGGCTGAAGGTTCAAATCCCAAAGTTCTCGGGATTCCTACAATCCCATTTGCTACTGGTGTAGCCCAAAAAGATCAACTTATCAACCATTTTAAATCATGGAAGCTACTTGATGATTTGATTGCTTTTTGCTTTGATACTACAACTAGTAACACCGACTATAAAGCAGGATGTGCTGCTTTAATTGAGAAGGATATTGGTTGTGCAATTTTATAAGCTGCTTGTCGGCACCACATTTACGAGTTACACATTTAACATGTCTGTGAAGCAGTTATTCAAAACCATAGTGAGCCAATTCATCTGCTACTTAAAATGCTTCAGGATAACTGGGAATCAATTTCCCAAAAAAAAAAAAGATATTCAGTTTGAATTTCCTGCAAACGGAGATAACTCAACCAATTGTCAAGAAAAATTTGTCTTAAAATGGGCCAGTAATTGCTTACAAAAAATACATTTCCGAGAGAAGATTATTGAGAACATATTGAACTGGTAATTATTTATCTTGGCGGATAATTATAAGATGAAAAGACATTTTGGTTCAAGAAACCTGGTGCTTTTCATCGTAATAGATTAATGCACATTGAACTATACTTTAAGTATGTTGAACAAACAAGTTTATAAATAACTGGCTCAACCAGAACTAATGCTATAAGCTTAAGAAAATGGCGGAGTTTATTGTACTGTTCCAAGAAATAGCTTTTTTGCAAAGTCGAATTTCCATCATTGCACCAAATGTTGATTGCTAGTACATCACTGACATGCAGTGGTATTTCGAATTTTACAGTACAGCAGCAGATGCTGCCCTTCAGTCGTGTTACAGGCATTTTTGGTATTTAACCCAACAGCTTGTTGTATTCATGTTTAATGAGTCAGTTACTGCAATTGAACCTTTTACCGCAACTTTTAAATTGTTAAGCATCAAAAGAAATGAACAAATCAAGCTTTGAAAGGCAATATTTCCGCAAACTAAACTAAATAAAATTCCTGATTTTGTGTCGCTGATTGGGCCAGATTCCTGGCTACTGTTTGATTTTCTCAAAATGAAACATAATCAAGCCGATTGGTTGCTAATACCTGTTGAACATTTGACAAAGATTAAGGACTATAACTATGTTAAAAAGATAGTCAAGTATTTAGAAGCTGCGCTGAACGAGGAGGCAAGCTGATCCAAGAATTTAAAAACAAAATCAAAGATCCAAAGCAGTTACAATACGTACTTCATATTGTTGAGAATCATTGCAAACGGGTGTCTCCCATTGGAAAAAAAGAGAACTTAAATAACATATGGTTCTTATTACCATTGTTTTAGACAATTTTATACATTAGTAACATATTATTTCTGCCCTGTACAACCCCTAAATAGTTTTTATTCAGCCCAGTTTTTTTTACCTGTAATACTTTACTTGATGAAAAATAGCAAACTAAAAGTTCTTGAATGAATTCTATAAAGCTGACATTAAAATTTTAAAAAATGTTGCAAAATAGACGAAAAAACTACAATTGAGTTGAATTATTTATTTTCTAATAAATTGATATAGTAGTTTTGTATTCTTTGACAGATTTCAAATTTTATGTTTAAAATATTCAGTTGTTAGTTTTTATGACCATGTAAAGTTTGTAGCCCCCTCAAATTGAGGGGGTTATTTTTTACATGGTCATAAAAACTAAAAACTAAGTAATTTAAAAATAAAATTTAAAACCTGTAGGTGAATACATTTTGTCTAAAAAAATTACTGTAAACGTAGACGAACAAGGTGTTTCCGAGAAGGCTTGATGCTAAAAAACAATATTTTATGCTTTTTAATAAATTAAATATTTCCAGCAGGATATTAAAGTTACTCTTGATGAAAAAGACAACAAAAAAGTTGAACAACTTAATAAAAAAGCTCTTAAAATAATTTTTCTGAAAACAAAAGAAAGGTTATTTAAAAAGTTTAAAATTCTTCAAAACGAATATAAAAATAACTACAACAATAAAATTTGTAAGTTAACAACGCATACAAAGAATGCTGTTTTAAACCTATGCGATGTTGATATTCCTAGAAACGAAAATAATCTTCTTAATCTTGGCCCCCATTTTGTACCTTTGTTGAAATATATACCTAATATGGATAATATTGCAACAACATAAACCTCGGCTTTAAAATTAGAATATAACAACAAGAATGAAAATGCGCAGGATTAAAATTAAAATGGGTTAAAAATAAATCAAAATTTAACAAGAGAATAAAGAAAAACTCTTATGGAAAATAAAGAAAAAAAAAATCTAAATCCGTTTGATAAAGGTAATGGTTTCATAAGAATAGAACACGATAAAGCTTTAGAAAAAATTTGAAAACAAATTGGACCAACGAGAGTTTTAAATGAAGATCTCAGTTTTAGTTATGGTATTAAAACTAAAATTTATCTTTACAACTTAATAAAAAACAACGATTTTTAAAAATAGAATATGATAGTATATATCCAAGTGATCCCATCCACGGCTGTTTCACGTAATGTAAAATTGGACATTACGTCACAAGTTTAGCAAAAACAATTTCCGCATAAAAAGCTTTTTAAAAAATCAATAACTTTAAAGTAATAGTTTTTTTTTTCTGTAAATGCTTTTTTGTTTTAATAAAAAAAAAATGATACATCTATCTTTCCTTGTTAAATAAATATTTTCATTAAACTGAATAAAAATAAAATTTGTAAAAATATTGCTAATGATTTGGGATCACTTTCCTGTTTTTTGCGTATTTTACGAAAAACCTGTCTTGGGGCAATCAAGATTAGATATTTTAAGCTACATGCTTGATGGTTGAAATTTTACATACTTATCAACGAATGTCTATTTTATCAGATTTTTGGTGGGCATAGATAAAAAAAATAGTTTAAGTTAGTTTTTTTAGCATTATTATTTTTGTTTTTTATATTTTATATGAAAAACGTTCAAGATTTGTTATGCCCACCAAATTATTGAAATTTCAACCTTTTATGCACATGAAAATCAAAAAAAAACTACTTTCTGTACTTTTAACTAAAATATCTTCAACCTTGGCAAATTTTGTGGTTTTTAGCAAAAAAATTTGTTGTTAAAAAATTTTAATTCTTAAAGACCAATTAAATAAAAATGATTCCTGCAAATACTCCACCAAGGTTACAATATCTAAAATAAGAAAATTTATTGAACTTTATTTACACCGTTATTTTTTTTTGTGGAAAAATGAAATCCATGAAATTGAAAATTCTGGTTCTATAGGTCTTTCATTAATGATTTTTTACACCATCATGAAGTAAACGCTTTCAAAATTGCAATGACAGTAAATCTTCCACTTCACATAAAATCCTATCTAAGATATGTCGACAATACCAGCCTTGATTTTTAAACACTCAAGAATTTGATTTTTAAACACTCATTTGAAATCGAAAATAGAACTCTAAATTTTCTTGATTTAACTATAATAAATAACACTAAAGGTAAATACAAGTTTAAGGTTTACAGAAAAGAAGTCATTACAAATATTCAAATTAAAACTCGCTCAAATCATGGCCCTTAAGATTCTAAACGCAATATTTAAAGGTAATGTTCGCAGGGCTTGCTCTATATGTAGTAATTTATATATACAAGATGAGACAACCTTCTTTATTCAAATATTGAACATAAATGGGTATAATATATGCTAACTTACATGTATCGCTAACTTAATTGACAGTAAATGGTCCATAAAAATCAACAAAATTCAATCAAATTTCTTTAACCTCCTTACTGTATTACTACTGTGGATGCCATTAATACTCCTGAAATTAAGAAAAATGTTTCGGAAAGCTGGCTATAAAGTATTTTTCAAATCAAATCCTAATTTAAGAGCAATTCTAACAAAAAAAAAACAACAACACTAAATTGCCACATAATAGTCAACGTGAAACATATTAAATTGAATTTTAATGCTCAAAGAAATACATAGACAAAACTAAACTTCAAATTAGGACTTAATAACATCTAAAAAGTGAGAGAAAACATTACCAGCCTGCAATACCCACCTAAACAAATTTTGCTTGGAAGAAATAAGGTAAGAGATCATAAAAAAAAATTATAATGGAAACAAAAAAACTTGATCAAAAAATGCGCAAAGCTCTTGAAATACGAAGGTAGCAATGTTCCCCTTTTAAACGTTGGAATTAAGAAAACGGGCAATTTGTTTTACATATACATGTCTGCTACGTCGTTGGATGTACTTAAAAAAGTTAGATAAAGGTTTTTCAACTTGAATATATTTTGTAATTTTTTTACAAAAATAATTACAATATTTTGACGGAGGTTAAACTAACTTTTAAGTTGTATAACTTAATTAAATACATGAATTAACATTATTTTATTTCATTAAATAGAACTTTAATTTTTAAATTTAATTAATTAATTTTCTTTCATTACATGGTGCATAGGAAGATGCTCTGAGACCTTGCAACACATCCCCCAAATTTTTTTCGTTGTTTATTATGAACAGACTCTTCCTTATTTCAAAAATGTAAAAAACAACTTTTTTCACCGGGGGCCTAGGGAGAAATCACGTATTTTTGGCGAGTGCCTAGTAATTTTGTTGTTCAAGACAGGTAACTAAAAGCTATTTGCCATACTCAAATTTTTAGTATGTTAATACTGATATCAAATAAGGGTAAAATTCAAAAAATTTAGGTTATGGAACTAACCAACCCCATCCCGGCTATGAATTGCCCCCTTCCTAGAACTACGTCTCCTAAGCTAATTAGTTTTTTTAAAGTTCTATCATAAATTATACCAAAATTTATTGACAGATTTCAAGTTTCAACATAAATGCGAGTTTATACAAGTATAAACTTGCATAAACTGTTGTACTATTGTAAATATAAGACTTTAATTACTTTTATTATAACTAAATAATATTAATTTAATCTTTTGTCAAACTTGTAATGTTTCAATATTACTAGATTGGAGTTAATTTCTAAAATTCAGCCAAGTAAGTTAATTCAACTAAGTTTCCCACAAGTCAAAATCACGTAATGAAGCGTTTGATTTGGCTATAATAAATAAGCCTAATAAAGCTTTCTACTAAATAAAATTTTATTTAGCAGAAAGCTTTATTAGGCTTATTTATTTTAGCCAAATCAAACGCTTTGTTACGTGAGTTTGACTTGTGGGAAACTTAGTTGAATTAACTTACCTGGCTTACCATAAAACATAGAAACAAGGTTGATAATTTAATGCCAATCTCAAATACTTTAAGGTCGGCAGTTAGATTGGCATTGCCGAATGCCGACCCTAATTCCGAGGGTTGTTGATGATACAAATTTAAAGTGTTATAAAGCAACTGTCTTTTAGTTTCTTTATTCTTATCTTTAGTTTCTTTAAAAAACAATTGCAGAAATTTAGTGTTCTTGTTATACGAGTTGTAAAGACCACGTCATATCTTTAAGTGCCTTTTAAAAGGCACTTAAAGATATGACGGTATATAACGATATAAAGGTATAACAAGAACACTAAATTTCTGCAATTGTTTTTTAAAGAAACTAAAGAAAAGAATAAAGAAACTAAAAGACAGGTGCTTTATAACACTTTAAATTTGTATCATCAACAACCCTCGGAATAAGGGTCGGCAAAAAATTCGGCAATGATAATCTAACTGCCGACCTTAAAGTGTTTGAGATTGGCATTAAATTATCAACCTTGTTTCTATGTTTTATGGTAACCCCTTTGTGTAAATTTTTTTTCGCTAACCTAATGCTGACCTCTATTAATTTGAGGTCGGCTATTTATCGCCGATCTCATTTTTCTAGATTCTGAGGGTTGCATCAAACACTATGTTAAACTCAGTACTCAGATGGTCTAGCAAAGGAACAGTTATAATCAATTTAAAATAATTTGAAATGCAATTTTTAGGCTTGTTTAAAGTGTATTTGAAGCTGTTAAATAACAATATTTCTAAATATGGAGACAGAATCTTTCAATGCTTGTATAAGATTCATACTATAGAAAATATCATTATTACTTGCATGTACAATCGTGTAATTAAAGCATGTCTTGCTATACACAGTGAAACGAAAAAATCTAAAACTTCTTATTAACTTCAGTATAAAAAGCAGTAGCAGAGGTTGCACGACTAAATGTTTCATCGATATTTAAAGTCATACTTTGAGACAGAAAACCACATGAATAAAACACTTTTGTAAAGTATCTATGCCATAATTTTACAACTCATAACATCAAAGAAAAATTGGTGATATATAAGGTTTATAACAAAAGGAAAGTCCGAAATTTTGATTTTTTATAAACTAATCACGGTGCATAGGAAGATGCTCTGAGACCTTGCAACACATCCCCAAAAATGTTTTTGTTGTTTCTTATCAGCAGACTCTTCCTTATTTCAAAAATGTAAAAAGCAACTTTTTTCACCCGGGGCTATGGAAAAAA